TACACAGCTTTTTAAAGAGTCAGATCTCTATAATTACTGTTACATTCAAGAGGATTTTCACAAAATTCATTATTATCTAGAACAAAAAATATCTCATCATTTTTTAGCATTATAAGTACTACAAATAAATTCATTCATTATGAAATGAAGAAATTGCCCAATAATATATCAAATAATTCTAAAGTAAATCTTTTGAAAAAATTGAAGAATAAAGTATATCATACACATTCATATTATATAATGTTAAAGTAATGAAATTTTTCAACTCTATAAAAATGAGATTAACCCTCTTCAATATTGAATTACTTGGATAAGAAATCAATAGAACAAATTACATATAAGAAGAAAGAAATCAATGAAATTTATTATTGTGTACAAATATATATGTATATTTGTTGATGATTAAAAAATTATAATTAATCAATTATTCATCCTTCATCAATAAGGTTTATAAATATTTTAATTCTTTATTAATAGAAATTCTTTTTTAAACTTGATTTAATCTTAAAGCTGTTTAGAAAATATTATTAGTTTAATTTTAGAAATTCAATTTTCCTTAATCAACATTATTTTTGTATTCCTTGAATAGTTTTCATCCCTCATGCTTCTCCCCTCCTTCTCCTTCAGAATACTCCTTTACTTCCAATCTTCTCTATTACCTCCAGTGTCCCCTATGCCACCTATGGTAAAGGAAAAGAAAAAAGCTATTCATGGAAATAATAGAACAAACTATTCGTATTTATTAATATTAATTAGAAATGATCTACTCTTTGTAACTTTAAACTCTTTTACTTTTGATTTTGCTTATCAAAGTTTTAAAATCAAATAAAAAACAATGAGATTTCTAAAAGTGTCTAATGAAAAAATTTTCTTTTTAAAATTTATATATTGATCGAAGGGAATTAAATACAAGAATACCAAAATTAACTCTAAAACATAAAATAAAAATTTTATACTTTACACTTTGCCTCCTAATTCAGTATGCATTTTACAAATTTTAAGGAGTGAACAAGATTTTGTTCAACATATTCCAATCTTTGACTTATTAGTTGAAATTATTATTTATGCATAAACAGAGATGATTAACAAGAAAAATGAATCAACCATCAAATCAAGTATTATTAAAGAATCAAGTAATGCAAATGAAGAATTTAATTCTCCATATCATATTTTACACCAACTATAATCGATTCCAAATTTACACAAAATCTTAACATAAAACATTTTTATTTGTTGTAGAAAGCTTAAATTAAAGGAATTGAAATTCAATAAAAAAAAAGAATAATAAATTGTATTTTTCATAAAGAAAATCCAATATCTTTGATATGTATGGGTTCTCATGAGTGTAAATTATAAAGAAAGCTTTGTCATAAAAGTCAATATCTACACAGAGTAGTTTTTAAACATTTAGTTTAGATTGAAATATTTAAAGAAAAAGTTAGCAACAAATTAAATTAATTTGATGAAATATCTGAAGTAAAATAAAAGAGAATGAAAATGATATCTGTACTTTCTCAAACCGAAAGTTTGCTGAAGTAAATTTTTGAAGAATTATCATAATCAATCATATAAATATACAATTAGATTGAATAGGAAAATAAATCATTTTATGAAATAATTACCTACACTACCATTAAACTAACAGACTTCTTAAAAAATGACTTAGACAATTTAGTTTAAATTGAAGAAACAACAACAATAAATTATTCGAAGTTAAGAAGAATTCTTATTTTGAGTTGTTGGAAAAGGGAAAGATTTTTTTGGATATAAAAGTAAAGGATTTCATCTAAAAGATATGATAAGAAATGAAAGAGATTTTTTCATTTAATGGGCAAGCACAGTTAAATATCTGACCAATTCAAAAAAAAGGATAAGCTTTAAAAATCGAAAAAGACATTGTTGATCTCTTAACTTTGTTAACAGATATTGAAGAATAAGCTTTCACTTTAATTATTGAACTGCTTTGCTGAAATATATTATTAAAAGAATAAGAGAGGATAATAGCATAATTGAATTTTTTAATTTTTAGTCCACATAACAGCTATAGACGAATAAATGATCTAGAGTGGTTCAAATGCAATTCATTTATTAGTAAAAATGAAGATTGATATGAAAAACAAATAATTTCAAGATATTAAGATTTAGAATACATCTTTAATAGGGGCAAATTTTTTAAGATGCAATTTGAGTGAATCTGAATTTAATAATTTAGATATAACAGGCATAAATTTAAATGGAGCTTGATTACTCAGGTGAAAATGGAAGAACATTAGAATAAATCAATTTAATAGATTAGATGGCCATAGTGGTTGTGTAAGATCAGTATGCTTCTCAACTGATGGTTCTATATTGGCTTCTTATAGTTTGGATAAGTCTATTCGTTTATGGGATTTAAAGACAGGATAAGAAAAAGCCTAGTTGTTTGGTCATTATGGTTGGATCAATTAAATGTCCTACTTCTTGATGGTAAAACTTTGGCATCCTATAGCAATGATAAGTTTATTCGTTTATGGAATGTTATGACAGGTTAAAAAAAAAGGCCAGATTGGAAGGTCACACTAATACTGTTTGCTCAGTGTGCTTTTCACCTGATAGTGCTACAATAGCATCAAGTAATAAGTATTACTCTATCCGATTATGGGATGTCAAAACAG